ACCTCGCTCCCAAGGCCCTAAACTTCAAGAATAAGAGCAAAGCACCTGAAGCCATGGATGCGAACATGTGCTATCATTGTGGTTCAAAGGACCATTGGTCCCGTGTTTGCCGTTTATGAGTCCATATTTTACTATATATTTTACCCTATTCTTAGTTATAATTTATTGGTTATTTTGGTAGAATTTTAGTACTTTGTTATATATTTTCAATGTAAGACACTCGACTTCCTCTGGAGCAAAAAATGATCAAACGGATGTATTTTGAAGTGATTCTAATTAGAGGATGTTCGTGAGTCTTTCAAGATGATTGTATCAAAGTTTCAGATTTTTCTACCAAGTCGCTTGACCGTGGCAATGAAATAAAGACCCAGTGCGCAGCTTTCTCAGATTGACGTTTTTGGACATTTTGGGTATTTTGAAGGTCAAGATAGCATATTTTGAGGAAAATTCCTTCTGAAGATTTGTTGGGGACGTCTCAAACTTTAAAATGAGACCTTTTAGGACCAAATAGGATTTGATTTAGTTGGTCAAAATAGGATTTGATTTAGTTAGTCAAAAGTCTGATTTTCTGATAAGTCTGAATTTCAGTTTTAAATAGGAAACCTTTTATTTCCTAGTTATTTTATTCTATTATGTTTCCTAGTTTTTAGAAGACCTTTTCTAGGTAGGGTTTTATTTTGTAGTAGTATAAATAAGGCTTTTTAGCCATTAGGAACGTGGGGGAGGCATCAATTTGGAGAACTAGCTAGGCTTTGACATTTTGTATTTCAAGGTGTTTTCTATCCTTTTTCTATTTCAATAAAATTCCTTTTGTTTTATGGTTGTTCGTAACTAATTTTTGTTTGCTAGGGCGATGCCTTGAGCCTTAGCATGAATATGTAGTTTTTATTTAATTGCTTATGATATTATGCATGCATACTTTGAATTATTAATCACTATATTTAAACTGTCTCTATATCTTAATGCTTAGCTACCATTAGGATGTTTAGATAAGTAATCGGATGCAATTCGGTCGGAATGCCACCGGAGGATTGAGTATTGCTTCTTGTGATTGATAGTTGTAAGTTCACGTACAGCGAATGCCACGTCTTAGGGTTTGCATGGTTTTTCAAAGGGTTTTCACAAAGCGTAATGAGTCATGCATGTTTATATTTGATCTGAATGCCATAGACGGATTGCATGTTTAATATACGTTCTAGCTTGAATGCCACAAGTAGAATATGTATTAGGAAAACCTAACCTTCAAAGTTGCATGGGTAATTCATAAGTAATTGGTAAATTTGATTTTCAAAACGTTTTCTTTACTTTGCTAATTTCTTAATCATTTTAATTAAATTCATTTTTATTATTTTTAAATTCAAAATCAGCCTTTTCCAATCTTTGTTTTCAAATAATTAATTAAGATTTGGTATTTACATAAATTATTCATTCAATCACTGTGGAAACCGATCTTGTTTGAGCCATTTATACTACAACTACCTTATTTTCTTGCAGGTATTTTTAAGTGTCTTTATCCCTACTTTGGCATATGGTAAAAATCCTTATCAGCCATGCTCCCCAGAAGGTTGTAGTTGAATATCATTCTCATCGTAAGAAGTTTGAATTAAACTTTGTGCAAGTGAATGAACCAGAAAGTACCAAGATGGAGGTTTCTGACTTTCAAGCAGTGTTCTAAAAAACAACCTAGGCGGCCGCCTAGGCTCTGGGCAGGGATCCGAGGTGTTTTCTTGCAAATCGGTTGAAAAAATCGGCTAGGCTCTAGGCGGGCTAGGCGGGGTACGTGGTGCTAGGTAGTTAGACAATTTTTTTTTTTTTTAAATTAAAAAAAAAAAAAAAATCCTATCTAAGTCTAAGTTGGGAACTTGGAGCACGTTGGAAATAAGAAATTAATGAGTAAAGAAGCGATCGATGCGTTTTACCTTTGTGCATCGACAAACCGTGATGGCTGAAATAGGTGAGTTGGGATCAGGTATGAGGTTTGTGTTGATGTGAGAGAGGGTGGAGATAAATGAGAAACTTATTTCGGTTTCTAGAAAGAGCGAAGCTTCTGATTTTCTTGGGAGATGTCTCCCAAGAATCCTCAGACCAAGTTAGAAGTAAGGCTTGTAATTGCCTGATGTACGAAAAATAGAACCAACCTTCTGAGATTTGATATATTGAATTTCAGCTTGCAGCCGCTTTGCTGCTTCATCATTTTTTTGTTTCTCCTTTAAAAGTTGGACCTGGTTTTCTTGTTTCTCAATTTAATCATAAATGAGGGAAGGGCATTCAAATGCATGACACGTGTGCGCATCTTAAGCCTCTGTGCTACCCCGCAATGGTCTAAATTAGACAGAGGGAAAGCCGTTTGGGCTCTGGGCCCGAGGTCGTCAAAAGCTGAAATGAGAGTGGGTGTAGCTTTTAGGATTTTGCAAATGTCAAATGAAGCTACTACACCAGCTTATATTATACCTGTTGCAAATGATTGACACAGGTGTGGCCTTCTGCGTGTCGGTCAGCACGTCGTCATCAGTTTTCAGATCACGAGTTTGATTCTTCGCAGTGGTTGTTTTATGTTTCTTTTTCATTCTTTTTCCCGAGTATATTTTTCACGCCTGTCATCTTACAATACTCCTCACTATGGTTATATGGCATATATGCTTAATGTGTTTTTAAATTTTGGACTTGTTTGATACTCTTTTTTTGCATTTTATCATTCTTTTATTATTTTATCCATGGATTTCATACAAGTACAATTTTTTGTAAGTGTCAATATGCAGTTATTTACAAGAAATTTACCTAAATCTGCTTAGGCCGCCTAGACCCCGCCGCCCGACTAGCGCCTAACGTTTTTTAGAACCTTGCTTTCAGGAGGATACCAACCCTATGGAAGGTTAGAATCTTAGACATGAACTATTTCTAGTTAAATTTTTAGAATAATGGGTCGAATTCCACATAGTGGCCGAACCCCCCCTTGTTTTTTGGTTTAATTTTGCACAATTTTCCTTTATGTTTGGATTATTTGTTGGTGCTTTGTTTTTTGATATTAAGTTTTAATTAATTACTATCCTTGAATACTTAAATCATTTTGAATGGATATTTTTTTTTAGAACTTTTATGCATGTGACCGATTCAAATTAATTTTTATTTCTAGGTATGACTAGTGAGAAAGTTAGTTGCTTGACAGATAATGCAACCATGCACACCATTTTGCGTGAATGCATCTATTTCACTAACTTCATGCCTAAGAATGCACCTCTAATAACCCTTTCCGAACCATCCAACCTAATCAAAGGATACGGTTACGCACGTATAATGTTGTCTAATGGTACAATCTTGACCATTGATGAGGCACTTTATTCTCCACATTCCGGAAGAACGTTGTTGAGTTTCAAGGACATTAGAGATAATAATGACCACGCTGAAACCTATGTAGAAAATGGAGTTGAATTTCCATGCATCACTTCCTACAAATATGGCCAAAAGTGTATTCTAGAGAAGATAGAACGTATCTCGAGTGGTCAATATACTACGACCATACGCCTATAGAAAGCCACATGTATGCATATTTTTACGGGATGCCTTATTCATATTTATGGCAGTGAATAGTATTATGTTGACGTAAATTATTGATTTACCATTTTATGATTTTGTTTACGTTATTTGCTCATCGTTACTGCACTGGTGTTTGTACTCACTTGGGCCAGGGCCAGGCTTTCACATATGTGTTCACATCGAACCGTATGCTCACTTTGGATCCATTGTAGGTGTCAATCTTGTCCTAAATTGTTCTAGGCATTTAGAACTTGTATGTGATGCGGATAGCACCTGTCTTCACGTGATTGTAGTACTAGAACATATATCATTATTACATTCGGGTCAGTTCATGTCAGAATACCTCTGCATGAACTCGTGTCTCAACATATGTCGATGAGCACTCGATATGATATGTTTATGTATGCGAGATTATGTGATTACCGGAGGTTAGATGTCTATTTAAGAAATATTATGACCTATTGAATTCTTGAAATATTGCAGACTACAGTAATCATTTTCTTACTATACGTAGTATGTATATTTTGGAAACTATGCTTATTTTACGGTGAGGGGTTATTGCGTTTTAAAAAGATTTTTACAAAACTTTATTTTTAGGTCCACTTACCCTTGATTTTCGCCCTCTCAGAATTTAGTGGCAATGTTTGTGTCAACGAAGATTTCTGGCAAACGCTGATATCGGAGACTACTCCCGATGGTATAATTCTTATTCTAATTTTATTGTACTTTACTTTTGCTCTAACATCACTTGTCAAATGGGTTCGTTCCCGCTCACAGATGCACTCTTTCATTTAGGCACCTTTAGGTTTAAATTTACTCACATTTTCCACATCAGTATACTTTATGGCTTCGTCACCCTTTTCCTGTCGGCCATCACATCTTTATTCAGAGTTCAGGTGGACATTCCAGGTCGAGGTGTGTCACAACCCATTAAGATATTGGGTATATCATGAAAACGACACGAACACAGAAAACACGACACGAATGTCAAGTCTACTTAAAACACCCCAACTTTTCAAATCAGTCTCAACCTTTCTAACATTCCAAACTAACCTACCGTAAAATTGGCATCTGTCATGTCTGAAGTTAGTTTCATCATATTCTTAAGGAAATAATGGAAAATAAAAATTAAAACTAAAAAAAATTTAAAAAAAAAAAAAAAAAAGCTGGCCTAATTTTATTTTTTTATACAACGGCATATTTACACGAAGGCATAAAAGAATAAATTGGTATCAAACTCCTTGCCTATAGGATTCGAATCTAAAATTTGGCACTTACAGGTGAAGAGATATAAGTGAACATTTGGTTGGATTCCCATTATCTTGTTCACTACCAAGGATTCTTGGTTACTCACCCTTGGATTTTTTATCCTCTTAACACTTATGTTTAACCCTGTTTGTTATTTCTGTTTGATTTATTCAATCCTATGGCAAAAAATAAAGAGTGCATGTGAGAACCAAAAAGAATGAAAATCATATCCCTAAATTAAAATACATTTCCTGGTCATTGAATAACATAATCAACAGAAAATTATTGTCTTCTGACCTTATGCATTCCCTTATTCCATTCTAGCCATTTGAACAATACAACTCAAAAGAAAATTAATGGACAAAATCAAGAGATAGAAAAGGGCGTGTGGAAACCACTCCTCTGAGTGAGTCTTTTACCCTTGATTTCAACACTCTGCCATGGGAAACACAGACCCAATTCTTTCTCCAAAGCTATAGCATTTGATGTTGACTTGGTATGGACCCAGCTCAATACGGTTGTCCTCCCCACCCATGTAGAAACACAAGGTGTACAATGCAAGTTCAAATTCTGGGCTCACTCCAACTAATGTGCTTGATACCGCTTTCAAAACACCATTCCACTCGAACTGGATCGTAAGCAACTGGGTTTCAGAGTCTGGCTGCCATTTAGTAAACATAAGTTTCCAATGTCAGAGTAGTAAAAAGACTCAGATTCTAGCAAGGCAGTTGTCAAAACAAATAGAAAACGATGAGACGATGCTGAAACAGTACGGAAGTAATTTAAGAAACAAATACTATTGTTTCCACTATCTCGTAGCCTTGCAGGCGGAATATAGGATAGATTTACTTACAGTTTGTCCGCGTCTACGGGGAAAAATATAACCTTGATAGTCTACCCTTCCTTTTGCTTCTTCAAGGTAAAACTGGTAAGATATGGTAAAGGTACTTAGCATTTTCTAAGGGTAAATAAAAGTCATCAACTGGTTTGTCAACTAACATCATATTCATCTTGACATAATAAGATATGACAGGAATAAAAGTTATAGGCAAAGAATAAGTCATAAAAGACAACCTGAAGCCAATTGTGGAAGCCAGAAACCTCTTCTTCACCACGTTGTTTAATTTCTCCGACAAAAACATGCTCAAAAGCCGAGGAGGAAGCAGATGTACCACCACGGCCGTAAAGATCAAACCAGAGAGTGGACAATGTTCTTTTGAATTCCTGATAGCTCTCAGATACAATGCCCTTACGTGAGAGATACTTGTGAAGATATTTAATGGGGGCAGTTCTGCTGATTTCTTCTACGAATGCAGCCTGCTCTTGCTTCTCCTCGGATGTGATAACTTCTTTGCAACCCGCATTTGGGTTGTAGTTATCTAAAAGAGAACAGAAACGAGAAAAGGTAGGCCTCCGAAATATATCTTCACTCAGCCAGGTAAATAAGCTTCCTTCTGCCAAGTCTTCTCGTTGGTGGACCTTCTTCCCTCCACCACAGTCAATTTCATAGTCCTTTCCAGGCACTAGACGGTTTAAATCAAGTTCCCAGAGTTTATTGCAAGCTTGTGACAGATCAGAAAGCTCTTCTCCAGAAGGTTCTATGTTAGCACCTACTTCAGCCTCATCGGAGTATTCTTGCTCAGCGGCAGGCCGCTTATATCCATTCCACTGGCCCATCTGAATCTGTTGATTTTTATATCAAGTGAGAATTACATAGTGTGGCAGTACAAATTCATTTCATGTTACTTAGAACTAGTAAGGCAAGATTAACTAACTTCGTCAGATTGATTTATTACAAGGATATTCTATAAGATTAAACAGAATCTGTGAAATCGAGTATTTGATCAAACTGTTTCAATGTTATGGTTCCAAATTTTCTAAAAAAACAGTAAGTTAAGCTCAGAAGCCAATCTATTGACAAAACAAACTATAACCCAACATCGAAAAGTTAAAGACCAAACTTTTGACAGTGCTGTCCCCAAATATGAAATGCAACTAAGATCTTCAGGTGACCTTTTTAAAGTTTGGTAAACTCAAAGAAAGCAAACCTTGTGTGGTTGTTGCCTTGAAGGCTTCTTCTTGCCGACAGTCTCCCAACGATCCTGATTTTCCTCTTCGTCCTTCACCATGGATAATCAAATATAACGAAAATAGCCCCTCTAAATTATAATTAAACAGATAATTTTAATAAGACAAACCTTCCTGCGTGAGTAGTTTTGGTTATAACCATGTTGTCCACCATCATTATTCGTTTCATATCCTTCATGCGAAGCCTGCATTTGAGATATCATTGAGAATAGGACATATCAAGCCTTAATCACGAAGTCTTACTTTATTGCCACATCAGATGGTTTACAAAATCCGATTCAAAAAGATGGTTTCCCTAGCATTCTCCGATTATGAAACTAAGAATAAAGTCCTCTCATTATGTATCCGTAGAATTTCCGATGCAGAAGTCTATATGTTTTTTTTTTTTCCTTACGCATCAGATGTTTACTTTTCTAGAAAATGTTGTCTTGAGATTTAAAACAATGATGAAAAACAAAATTCACCTTGTGAGGTCTCCTTGAAGGTTCCGAATCCACATTGTATCCCCCTGTGTTCCCCAAATGACTCTGTTCCTGCAACATCACACAAGCAAATCACATCAATTACACACCAAACAAACCGCGATAATGCAACCAAAACCCCAATCCAGTCCAGTCCAGTCCAATCCAATACAAACCTGTCTATTCCATTGATTTTCGTTTAACCCATGTGGGCGATCACGATCACCCTCATCCTGCTCCTCCCCGGACACAACCTGCGAATTTTAGCACGCACCAGCAGCAAACTTCAACTCTCTGACTCTTAATCAAAATTAAGAAATTCAAAAGGGTTTTGTTTTGAAGAATACAAGGGGTGGTAGCTAACCTGCGCCCAAGAGGATCTGGACTGTTCCTCCGGTCCCGTGGACCGGGTTCTTCGTCCCTGTTGTCATCGTGACCGATCGCCACGTCGATCAGACCCTTGATCAGACCCTCCATTGAATACTAGAGAGAGAAAGGTTTTCAGAGAAATACTAGAGAGAGAAAGGTTTTCAGAGAGACAGAGAGAGATCCGAAAAGTTGAAGAAGATGAAGAAGGTAGTTGGGACTGAAGGAGTGGCGGGTAATGGCAAACTTTATAAATAAGGAAATTGTAAAGTTTGATCGATTTGATTGGATTGGATCGCGTTTGACGTTTTTGCCAATTATTTAATGCATTGGATATATATTTCAAATAATAAACAAATTTTTAAATGCCACTCCAATAAAATATTTCTCAAATCATTATTCAAGGAGATTTTAAAATGCATTCAGAATATAGGATGTTACAGTTTATGATGTTATATAAGTGGAAAGAAGTTTTTTTTATTTAACTATCGTTCCATTTTATAATAACATATAACGTATGTGTCCGTATTCTAAACAAATTGAAAAATCTCTACATTATTCATAACAAACTTAGTTACAAAAAATGGAAATGCTCCTTCAATACAATAGACTAGCAGTAATTTAAAAAAAAAAAATATATATATATATAAGTAGACTGTAACATAGCACTATAACAAAATTATAAAAATAAAGGATACAAATTTTTTTTTTTCTTTTTTGCTTTTATGATAAAAGAATATGTGGTCTACGAGAATTACCTAACTCACACGATGAGTCATCAATGATTTGACCAAACACACTATTATGCGAGTTGGATTTAAAATTTTCACTAATAAATAAAAAAATAATTAATAAATTGTAATACCGATGATAAGTTATATACTTAATTGAATTAGACATTTTGACAATTCAGTACTATGATACGATGATATTCCTCTACATTTATAAGTAAAATGTTTTAGATTCAAATATCGTTGATTGAAAAAGAAAATGGCCTTTTGAACCTTTTATATTCTTTAATAAAAGGCAATTCTTTTAAAATTGTTTTATTTTTTGCCGACACATTTCCACCATACGAGTGTTGACACGTGCGTGGTGTAGAAATAAACACATTCTCTTTTTCCAGATCGAAGTCGAAGTGCTTCTGCAATATACTTTTAGCCACTACGATCTACGACAACGTGTTGGGTCCTCTTATAATGAACTCTCTCATATATTCCGAGCCTTCATTTTATTTTTCAATTTTTATTTTATATTTTTTTAACCAATGATAGTATCTACATTAAAAAGGGGTATGGTTAGTCTTATAATGAACTAAATTCATCTTTGACGAAAATCGAATCTAAGATCTCTCACTTACAAGTGAAGAGAAATATCATTCAATCTTAATACCAAGTGGCTTCTTTTTGTTAAAGTCTTCATTTTGGTCATCATCATCTTTTTACTTTTTTTTTTTTTTTAAGGATTTATTTATCATTGTTTAAAGATATTCTTAAAATTATTCATTAATTTGGAAACTGTTTACTATGCATAGAGTAAAGCAAATCAACGAGAAATTTTTTGGGGTTTTCGTAACATTAGCTGAGCTGGTGTTCCCAGTCCATAAGAATTTTAGACCTGTTTGTCTATTTTTTTACATTTGATGAAAATGACTCCTATGTCATTTATTAACTAGGGTTTACTCTTATAAATATATGCTTTTAAATTCCTACCGTCAAATAGACCAAACAAATAATATCTCATCACTATCTTACGTTCTCTCTCGAGTCTCAATGATTTTGAATCCAGATCCTACTTCTTTTGCAGAAAGACACTTTCAAGGAGAAACGGATAAAATTTAGGAAACTTTAACAAAAAGCTTCCGGAACTGTTCACTTTAATTAAAAACCATATTTTTACACTAAAAAGTCAATCCTAGTACTATTCATTTTACCCTTTATTTTGTCCTTACCGTTAAAACTCAAAGTTTTCAAACCATTTCCATTAGTTTTTCTTAAAAATTATGGATTGCTTTTTGGTTCTTCCAAAGACTAAAATTGCAGGATTCAGCAGTTTACAAGTTTTGTTTTTGTTTTTGCTGTGTATCAAACAACAGTTACAAATTTGGTCATTACCAAAAGTGAGATACAAAGTGAATAAGCAAAAGAAGAAAGAAAACATTGAAGCAAATGAGTATGAATCTAATAGGCATAATTTTCATATCCATAGTTTATGTACGAAGTTGTGGTGTTGTATTTTAGCCGACCGGCATTACAAGAAAATATCATTTTGCCAACAAATTTTAAGCTGACAAAGCAAAGTTTTGTCAGCACAAGAGTTCTTTCCTAATGAAAATTTTAATTTATCAGCTCATAGTCATTGAATCTATATCGACTATAAATATGTCAGCACAAAATATTTGTATCGACAAATAAACCGACAGTCACAAAAGCATACAAGTTTGTCGCCTCTGACATATAAAAAGAAGAGTGCAGACTAAATCATTCTCCCGCCTTCCGGTTTTTAGTCTTTTGATTCACCCACTTCTTTTTTGGATAAATTCCCCCTTAGTTCTATAACCACTGTATTTTTTTGGTAAAATAAAAAGAGAAAATGTTGTATTTTCATTCAACCCTAATATTGTGGATAACCCACCCTCCCTTTCTCTTTGACTTCGTAACGCTCTGCTCTCCGTCGATCTCGCTCTATCTGCTCGTCGTCGCTCTGTATTCTCGTCATCGCCGTCGATTTGTTTGCTTGCATCACCGTCTCTCCATCTACTCTCCGTCACCCGTCGCTCTATCTGCTCTGCGTCATCTTCGAAGTGCCCAACCATTCTAGTTCCAAAATCTCCAATGCAGAGTGCTTCTCTGCATGTCGTTCTCTAAAACCTTGGGTATGTTCTCAATCTCTATCTACTTGTCTTTCCCCTTAGTTTTTTGTTTAGTCTCTACTTTATGGTGCTTTTCTTAGTTTTGTTCGACCATTGTAATTTTGAGGGATTTTGGTTAACTGAATTTGGTTGAGAATCTCATTTAGGTTTGTAGTTTCTTCTGGGTTCCCTGGGCTTGAGGATGATTAATCCACTTTCTAAATTTTATTTACTTTTAACTTTGACTTCTGGGAAACTGCAATCAAAATGCAGTTATGGTCATATAGTTAGAATCGAATACGAGTGTTTACACCACATCAATCAATACATCTGTGTAACCAATTGAATATGGAGTCAACTTTAACTAAAAGCTAGTATTATATTCTGTAAGAGTAACAGTTTTGAGAAGATCAGCTTCAACGCATCCCCCTAATTATAACAGTAGAGCAATTTTTTTAGGTATTACTGCAAGAAAAGTTCATCTTCTCCTGATTTACATGTTGTACTACTGGTGTACTGATTTTGGAAGTAATCATGATTTAAATTATTGGTTGTGAATCTTGTGATTCAAGTGAAGTACTCTTGGTTGATGTATTCTTCCTTCTAGGAGAGGAGAACTTTTGCATGTTGTTTTTCTGGCCAGGATCTGAGACCCTTTTGGCATCTGCTGCTTCCTTGTACCTCTATAGTTTCAGGTGTTGTTGGATCATTCAAAGTGTTGTTTGCAAAATCTATGTAAGTTAGTTTTGCAGGATAATTTTCTTTGTGTAACGTAAGTGGTGCAATCATGCAATTCCCTTATGTTTCTAATTCCTTTGTTTTTCTTGGCAGATCTAACCTGCTATGTTTCGCCATGTCTAGCAATTACGAGTTATATAGCTGGTTCACATACTCCGTGCTCCTTTTATTTCTATGTACAGCTGGATTTTGGGTATCAGTTATTGCAAAATAAAGTTTAGATTGCTTGGTTTACAAATTCTTGCAATTGCATGCTATGGTGCTAGTTTTATTTAGTTTTTATACATTAATACTTTCTACTTCTACTTGTGCAGATGGTTTGGTTGAATGAAGGGTTATCCTTTTTCGATGCAAATCTTATTTTTCATATGTTTCAGATTGCTTGGACATTCTTTTCATTTGTACCGGATTTGTATAGTTTCAAGAATTCCACGATTTGTATATATTCACATTCAGCCTCTAAATGTACATTCGAAATTTATCAATCAATAAAGTATTATTTCTTAACAATTTTGTGTATCGTATTTTGATATGCATATATAGTAGCTGAGCATTGAAGCATTTATTTTTATTTTGTTTTTTATAAATTAAATGTCTTTCTTGACAAAACAAATTTTGTCGGGAGAGAGAAGACTGCGTCGACGAAATATTCATGGCAATAAATACATTTTGTTGGCTGAATAATACTATTTTGTTGGCTGAATAATACTATTTGTTGGCTTAATACTATTTGTGGGCAAAACAAATCTCCAAATCCTAAACCTTATACTAGAATCTAAGGCTCCAGATAATATTTTTTCTGTAGAGATCCATTTTGTGAACTCTGGTTCTGCTAGGTACTAGCTGGAATTTCTACGGTACAAAATAATTGAGGTTCACCATACCAGCCTAAGAAGAAGGGTGATGAACAGTCAACTAGTCATTGGATTAGATTAACCTAGAAGTCATTGGATCAATCTTACGGTAGGTGTTTATAAGCATAAAAAATTTGTGAAGCATTTATTAGTAATGATTTAACTAAAGCGCCACATGTTGTGGTTGATAAGAAGAGAGGCCGGGTGTCGAAGTCCAACTCGTGGGGAACACCACCTGTCATGTTGAGGTGTGTGTACCTGAAATATCGAAAAATTTCTCCAAATAAACAATTATGGTGGTAAATAATATTTTCATGATTGTCAACTTATTTAATTCATAAAGAAGGTCTTCAAATCGAGTTAAAATTTGCAAGAGATGATATGTTGAGAGAAGTGATGTCATATCGTTATGTGATAAAAAATAGCTCCTTACATTAAGGATGGAATTAAAATGACATTGAATGGTGCAGTTAAAAAACAATTGCATACTCCTCCCAACCCCCTAAAAAAAGGTCAAAACATAAGGGCCATTTGATATCCTACTAACAAATTTTATTATTTTAAAAAATATTTCGTAAAATCATGTCTGAAGAACATTTTTTTATTATAAGAATCAAC